AGCCTAAGTTTCAGACATTCAGGATCAGCATCTGCCCATGTTTGCCTCGCTATTACACTAACGGTATCATAACAAGTTGTTATCAGCTTGAATAGGCAAATTACATGTGTTGTCTCGCTGCCTGGCTCTGCGTTTTATTTTTAAAGCAGTTCAGCAACATGACGACTAGTTGCTTCCAAATCGGAACTTTCTTTATCTTAATGTGTCCAACAAATCGGTGCAAAGCTTCCTGGGGTAAGATTGTCACAATAGCATGGAGACTTACATGGAGCAATAACAATGATTTAGCAGCTTAGGCGCCACATGTAGCCTCAGTCTGCTGTCGATGCTAAGAACTTATTTTGAATCTGTGTCCCTATTGGTGGTCAGGGCTGGAGTAGTGTCACCTGACAGTATATGATGACATTTTGTTGCTTCGGGAAAGTGAGCTTGTTGCTGCTCTTGTCAAGTTTTTGCATGTTTCAGCCCTTCCTTCCTTCTCACTCTACCACCTCTGAACCTGCCCCTTCCTAAAACAGCTCAGAGACGCACATAGCTGAAGGTCCTGACATTTTTCTCATAGTTAAAAGGTTAAAGCAGAAGCCGGTCAAAGTTTATATGGTAACTATATTGGTATGTAGTGTTTTGTTTTTAGTTTTAACTGAAGGATTTTTTTTTTTTCTGGTTATAATCTTGAACTTGAGATTACATATAATATTATTTGTGTCCTTTAACTCTAGAGATAAGCATTGCAGCGCTGTGGTGCAGCCTAAACCTTTATGGATTTTATATCTGCAAACCAAGCACGTGCCCTTTTATTGCCCGCATGTGGTTCAGTGGCAGAAAATGTCTTTGTATTCAAGCCAGATTTTTATCTGAATGTACTACACCGCATGTGATTCCACTTTTTGATCTGTCTTACGTAAGAAGATCATCCTACCTTATTTGCTGTCTGCCTATCTCATCCGTGGTTGCCCCTCACGCTGGCGACAGGAAAGCTCTTTGCTGCCATGATTTCTTCACAGATCTCTTTCAGTCCTTTCTTGGAATAATTACAAAATTTTTAATCTAAAAATTTCACTCACATTTTAAAGAAACAAATCATTTTCCCATTAAATATTCAGAAAAATAAGGGGGACTAATTTATTTACCAAGGGATATATTTTCCAACTACAAAGCTTGGAGATGGAGATGATGCATTCAAGTGTGAATAAGTGATTTTAAACAATAACAAGACAGGAACCGATCAGACTTATTGCATTAGACTTTTGTTTTTCACAAGCTAATGCTCTTTCTCCTGCTGTTTCTTTTTACAGCCTCTTTATTTCAGTGTTTCTCTCTTTCTCTCAGTTGTAGACAGACTGTATCTTTTTATAGCTAATTCCAGGCCAGAGAGAGTGTCATAGACAGGTCAATATAACACACACACACACATATATACGTAGTGTACAGATGCACGCTGCACACAGAGGAAATGTCTCGGGAATAAGTCTCCAGTTTGAACCTTAAGTATTTTTAACATCTGGATCTTGCTTCCACACGCCTGCCAAGACCCATTACAAGGCATATGGGCAGCCACGCACTGTGCCTCTGTGTAAATATAGCCCGAAAATGAGTGCCTGGGGATGCAAAACCTACAATTTTGATGTAGCCTCCAGCTCGGCTGGTTGGGTGTTTGCCTCGGTTGTTGAGGTAACGGGTGTGTGAGTGAGTGAGTGCTTCCTGGGCCAGTTGCAGCCCCGACAAAACGTTGTAAAAGTTGTTTTATTTATTGGTTTGATATATATATATATATTTCTTTTTTTTCCCAGACGGAAATGGTGACTCGTCAGACACCCAGCCGATTCATTGTCTGCATTGCCTTTATAGTTATGGGTTATATACAGATCGCTGCTGATTGGTTAAAACCTCCAACACTCCCACTAAATGAGAGGAAATGTGGCCCAAAAAGCATGTTACCAAAAACCTGCAGGTTTCAGTTAAAAAAACAAAACAAAACAAAACAAAAACAAGGCAGAAAATGGCAAAAGTGCTCCTGGTGTGGCTCAATTTGACATTTATTAACTTTAATAAGATTCTTAAAAAAACTTTGAGCAAGTGTAACATATAGCTATATTTTGTAACGGCTATTTCTTCCTGTTTTAGGAATTGAAATACAGGTGATAGGGTCCCAGTTCTTTTGTATGTCAAATTAATTTAAACAAATGTAAATAAATATATCATTACCAAGAATTCTAAGGGAATGAAAGTTAAACAAAAACAATCAGTTCATTAAATAAATTTCCTCCTGTAGCTGGCACCTGACCTGTGCTGAAGGATCCAGTAAGGATCCAACGGCAATTCTAGGCTGCATACGACTGCTGTATTTATTATCTAACAGTTTTTTTTCATGTCATTGTTTGATTTAATAGCTCAGTACCAGACAGTGTCATTTTAAGTTCCAACAAACCATCTTGCAAAAACGAAACTGTGGATTTGGAGCAACTGCAAAATCAGTCCGACCCCTGATCTCCAAAACATCACAAAATATCACAATGCCAATTAAACTTTATAAAGGGATAGTTAAATGTTTTCCAGGAGCTTCCCTATTCTTCTGTGTGTGAGCTGTGAGCTGTTTTACCACCATTTGTTTTTTGTTGTTTTTTTCCCTTTTTGATAAGGGGCAGTTGGAAGCACCCGTGTCAGAGAAGCATCGCAAAATTTAGATATTTAATTTACTGTCATAGAAAAGCATAAAAGGCAACATTTTGAATAAGGAACCAACCTGCAGCTGGTGGGACCCCATCAGACAGTGGAATCTAGGTCTCAGTTGTTAACTGTACTCCTTATTGGTTGTTATTTATAGATCATCAAGCCACCAGATGAAGGTGCACTCAATGTCTTCTTGTTTATCCAGATGTTTTCCTTTGGCAAGTGTGCCTGCACCGTGTTAACATGGAAGTTTGGAGATTTGGGGATTAGTCTTCAGCAGAGTTTTACGTGTGATGTAGTTTTTGGTATCTACAGTGTGTCACTGTGTCACATATTTGGGGCAGGAGCACAGTGACCTAAATATTAACCATACCTTGGCACGCCACAGCTGTGGCAGAACCAGAATTAGGTTCCACATTATTGAAGATGTGTTTATTAAAGCAGGCTTTAAGAAAAGGGTCTTTGAGGACACATTTCTCTTTGTGGGATGCTTGGTGAAATTTTTGAGAGGCTTCACAGACCAAACTCTTGCATAACTGTCTTTTTTTTGGAGGGTTTTATACAGGCACACACAGGAACACACTCATCATTACCGTGTAGTCGTTGTGTAAATCCAGATTAGCAGATGATAATTTGCTGTAGGGAGAGGAGATGGATGTATAAACCAGGAAGGCCTCATTAAAAGACAGACACAGAAATCTGGTGATGTGGCCCACAGCCCAGGGCTTGTAAACACACCAGTGCTGTACATAGAAACACGCGAAGCATTCATTAAAAAAAGCATATCTATAACAAGTGTTATACACTTATAAACTGCTTCTAATCATTTTCTCTTTTCTCCTATGTGCTGCTGTCGGTGATGATCCACAGGTAAGTCCGAATTTTTTCTTCCTCTTTGATCCTCCTTTGTATCTCTTTGCCAGCTGACCCCAGATCAGTCTTATTGTGTGCTG